AGAGACCAAAATGACGGAGTACAGCTAGGAGGACAGAAGTAACCGTTGCCGTCACCCTTTTTGTCTGCCGGTAACCCCCTTATCTGATCAACAGAGTGCTGGAATACTGATAGGATATGCTACATTGGTGCTATTTTCGCACCTTAAAAGGAACAAAGCCCGCGTTTGAAAGATTCGCACTTGCAGTTCCATTTGGTGGCAGAAAAAGTTAGCTCCCTTACGTCTAATGTGACCACTTAGTCAGCTACTAGGTCAACGGCTAACGACCCGATCGCACCCTCGCGGCCTTTAAAACGGCTTCACGTGCCTGTGCGAGGGACAACAGCGGTCATGCGGCAAACTAATATTTATTTGCCTCTCCTACTCTAGACCATGCGAGGGAACTATTACACAACGTCTCTAACTCCTCCTACGTCCTTGGTTTGCCCCAATACCCATTAATGAAAATACCCATAAGGTGTTAATGTTAAGGACCTGACAAGAATTAAGTAAAAAGAGACCGCTCCCCTTAAAGTAAATTTTGGTCTTTATGAGTGTCCTTGGGCATTTGCGGCAATTGAATTCTCTTCACTAACAAGTGCAAACTGATGAGGTCTCGGCGTCGACAAAATGCATTTCATAACAACCATTCCAGTTGCCGATTTCTGTGGGTTGAAAATCAGAGGACACACGTTCACCAGTTTCCCGAACAGACCCCTACAAAGACCATAGAGGTCGCAAGTGTACGATCTGGGAGGTGGCCGCAGCAATGTTATGGAAGTCATAGAGCGAATAAATTGGCGAATAGGTTTTTGTGTATCCCTTCTTGAAATTAATATTTTTTATAGCAACACTAAAACAAAAACGCTTTATCTTAATGCAGGGCGTTAACGACGAGGAGGGTTGGGTGCATTCATACATTGTTATCCTCGCAGAAGAGGGTTTTGTAGAGTTGATTAACTATTCAGATGTTTGAGAAGCCAATGGGACCACACAGAGTGTTGGTAGCAGTCAACAATAGTGACTGGAGTGGTCAGACGCACAAACGTTTAACTCTGCGAAGTAAAAAAAGCAATTGCATTACTGTTCTACAACCCAAGTCCCCACCCAAATTTAATTTTCCAAGTCAGTGTAATTGACTGCATCTCAACAATTATTTCATAAAGTTTTCGCCCGCCTGAAGAATTTCAAGCATAGTTGGTTCCACTCTTTATGG